TGAACCCAGGTCCTCTGCAAGAGCAGTCAGTGCTCTTAACCGCTGAGCCATCTCTCCAGCCACTATTATTTTTATTTTATGTATATAAGTGTATTGCCTGCATGTATGTAAGTGTACCTATGTCATGCCCACAGAGGTCAGAAGAGGGCATCAAATTCTCCTGGAACTGGAGGTTCTTAGCCACCATCTGGGTACCGGGAACTGAACCCCAGTCCTCTGCAAGAGCAACCAGCGCTCTTAACTGCTGAGCTATCTCTCCAGCCCTTCTTTCTTTTAATTATTTAATTGACATACAAAGTCTTAGGTTTCATGATGGCATTTTAAAACTAATTTGTTTTTATTGATCCTCTTCCCACCCTCTTCTCCCACACGCTGCCCCCGCCACTGCCCCCACATACCCTCCTCCCCTCAGTGATCTCTTTTCTGCCTTCATTACATGTGTGCTATTACTACCGCCACCCCTGTCTTTTCTCCACAACTCTTTCCCCTCTGTGGTCCCTCTTCTGGTTACATGACCTATACCTATACCCACACCCACATATATAAACATTTAAAGCTAGAGTCTGCATATTAAAGAGAACATGCCATATTTATCTTTCTAAGTCTGGGTTACCTTGCTTAATATAATATTTCCCAGATCTTTCCATTTCCTGTAAATTCCATAATTTCTTTTTTTTTAATGGCGGAATAACATTGTATTATGCATGTGTACCACATTTTCAATATTGAGGTTTTAAAAAAATTAAAAGTATAACTGCTAGATGACCCAGTCATATCACTTTCTGAGTATAGAGCCAAAGGACTCTACATCCTACCACAGAAACACAGGCACACCCATGTCTATTGCTGCTGGGCACAACAGCAAAGAAATGGAACCCACTTAAATGTCCATCAGCATATGAATAAATAATAAGATGTGGTACATTTCTTTCATCTTAAATGTTTATTAATTCCATCATTCAGATGTTTACTTATATGAACATTTAGGTTACTTACACACTTTTTTAAAAAAAATAAAAAGCTCTTATTTTATATCATGCTGTGCATTTCTCTCTTTTTTCCTTTCAGTGCTAGGGATCAAACCCAGGACTTTGCTCATGCTCTGTCAACACTCTACCCCTGAGCTACATCCCCAGCCCGTGGCTGGCCTTGAGCTCACCATCCTCCTTCCTCGATATCCAGAGGACTGGGAGTCTAGGTGCATACTGCATGCCTGTTTATTTTTATTTTTGCCTTTTAAGGGCTAGTAACTTTTGTCTTTTAGGGCTGGTGGGGTGGATCAGTGGGTAAAGGGGCTTGCTGCCAAGCAAAAGATCTGAGTTTGATCTCTGGGACCCATGTGCTGGAAGGAGAGAACTGACTTCTGCAAGTTGTCCTCCAGTCTCCATACACACACACCTCCCACACACATACACATGTGCACACATACACACAATAAATAAATGTAGTAAATTTTTTTAAATTAAATTATTTTTTAAAAAGTTATAAAAAATGAAAAACTTTAAACAAATATTCAAACTAAAAATGGCATAGCACTTAAATACACAAAACAAAGAATTAGAGAAAAAATGCCACAAGATAAAGGAGTAACCACTTGCTGTATATAGAGGCTGTCCCGTCTCTTCCTTACAGTGAGGCCCTCCCTTCCCACCAGAGACCCATCAGGCCCTCAGACTGGCCTGATGACCAGCCTTGCTTTGTTTTCCTATCTGGGTATGTTTCCCTAAGCAGCATTTTTTGTTTGGCTTCCTTTTGAATTCTATTTAATGAAGCCATGCTGCATAAATTCACTTGAATCTTGCTCCTTTGGCCTCACCTTATTTATGAACTGCATCCAGGCTGCTGTGTATGGTAGATGCTTGTTTCATGATCTTTCTATCTCCCCTTGCTTGAGGTCAGGGACTTAACCTTGTGACAAATATACGTTCCTAAGGACAGATGCAGCTGGGTCATCCAGAGCATGGGTACTTTCTCCGAGCTGGACCAGACAGGGTGGTAGGGTGAGAAGTTTGGGTGAGAGTTGGTTCCTGGGCAACTGATAAGGGCAAGGAGTCAGTTTACTCAGGCCTGGAATTTGAGCAACCTGGTCTTGAAGGACCAGTCTGGGCCTTGAAGGAACTTGACTGGCCGAATCTCCTAGCATGGGGCTCTCAAGATGCCCTCCCGGACCTGACAGCAAGAACCTTCCTGTTAAGACCTACATAGGGCGGATGGAGGCTGGGAGGGCCTAGGAGTCTGGTGTGGGGGTGGGTAGCAGGGGAGGACTGCAGAGGGCCCGAGCATGTGGTTGGACTTCCTGCCTGCAAGTACAGCTCTTGTGGTGAGGACTGGTGGGGAAGGTGTCTGCCACAGTTCTGAACCAGGGAGAGGAGTCTGTTTCTGTTTCCATCTTGGGTATGAGGAGCACATGGGGTCTGGGGTGGAGGTAGGGGAGCCTTCTCTTTGCAGGAGGGTTCTTTATAGCTGGCTTTGGCATGCCCCTCCCAGGCCTCTTTGCACTCCTGCTCAGCTTGTTTGGTTTTCAGCCCCTAGATCTCTGTAACCCTGCCCGAACTCTCCTGCTGTCAGAAGAGCTGCTGCTGTATGAGGGGAGGAACAAGGCTTCCCAGGTAAGAGGAGGCAGCCTGGTGGGCCCACTCTCCTGCAAGACTTCCCTGTCTATTTTCCCTTCAGGTCTCTCGCTTTCTCTTTCACATGGTCTCAGAGCTATACAACCTTAAGGTAGAGGAGACCAGAAAACTCTTCCAAAAGCCTTACCAAGTACTTACTCAACTTTTATTTGTATACCTCTTGTGATAGGGAACTCACTACCTCTCCAAGTCAATCACTGATATGGTTAGAACATTTCCCCACCCCCAATGACATCTCATTGTTTATCCTGACTTTTATGGAGCAGGGGAGATGACCGTATACCCCAGCTCAGATGAGTGCTTGTGAAGATGAAAGTTGCTAGCCCAAGAGAATTGGTAGAGGAGTCATTGGTTTCTTGCATTTTCTTTCTCTGTTAACCCAGTCCCAGACCCTCTTCCCACAGTTCTTCTAAGGTTTTTCCTGTCAGCAGGGGTCAGGGGTGGGGCCGGCCATTCTTCCTGGGAGCCTCCTTATCTCTAGCTGGGAGAACCTCCCTTACCCACACAATCTGAGAGTTGGCCGGGTCCCAGCGTAGCCCTGGAGCTGGAAACCACTTAGGAGGAGTTGGAGCCCTGAGATCTGGCTATGCTCCCAGGGGGCCTCAGGGTGAGGACAGAGTGCTTGCTGCCACTCAGGCCCTGATGCAGAACTGGCACCATTCAGGTGAGCGGCTGCTTGGGGCTGTGGAAAGAACAGGAAGCTGGGAGGCCTAGATCTAGCTGGCTTCCAGTGACTTTAGCCTTCCTCCTCAGCCTGCCCGTCTGAGCAATGAATGAGTTTGTGTGAATCTGAGGCAGAAGGCAGGGTCTGAGGCTGACTGATCTCTAAGGGCCCTTGAAACCTCATCATCCTGTGGCTGGAGCTAAAGCAGGAGGTTGGCATTGTTTTATTTTGTTTTAAGTAAACCAGAGCTCTATCCAGATGAGCATTTTTTTTTTTTTTTAAATGGGAGCTCCTTGGGGAGACTGTGCTTGTTTCTTCCATGTTGGTGATGCAGGGGTTCTGTATGTTGGGGCCTTTCACAGTCCAGTTGTGTATGACCCAAGAACATTAGATGCTGGACATTCACAGTCATGAAAAAATTGACCTGGGACAGTGACTCTGACTTTGTTGTCTCAAGTCAAAGAAGATTAATGATGTGGTTGGAAATACACAAAGTGGAATGCAAACTTTATTAAGAATGATTACAGAACTGTGAGAAACTGAGGAAAAGCGAGAGAAACTCCCTAGAGAGGGAGGGGTTTTAAGGAAGGAAAAAATTATTTGATTTCTTTTGTCTCACAGTGGCAGAAACTGGACAAAGGCTGAGGTGATACCTCTTGAGATTGCTTAGTTCTCTGGGCTATCATGGGCTGAGCCAATGGAGGGCCATATATCCTATGCCTGTCCTCCTGGCCGGGCCTGGGATGATCATGCAGTGTTCATGTGCTGCCCACCCAGTCAGGGGTAGTTAGAGCTTCCTTCTGTTCATCTCTGATTCCAGTTTTGACCTTGACTGCTTGCTCTTAGTCATTGGACTTGGCCAGCATCACACCCTCTCCATGCAGGTGTCTCAAGTGCTGCTAATTATACTAAGCTCCCTTTGTTTTTACATTTACATGATCAGCTGCTGGTAGCTTTAATGAGAGGCAGAGTTAGGTGTCTTCTGGCCACCAAGTCGCGGTCTTTCTTGGTTACCTTATCCATAGCCCCTTGTCATGGGGTGGACTGGGTGGTCTCCTAGGTAGAGGCTTCTTGTTAGAAGCCATCCTTGCAATTTAGTCTGTCACAATTAGCTGCAGTAGCACCAAGGATGTTTGAAAGAACAATAGTGCCTTACATATGTCCCTCAAGGACTCTGGACCTGCTGTCACTGGCCCAGAGCCCTGTCCCTCCTCTTATCTGTCCTGCTTGGTTACCTCATACCCAACTACAAGCCTCTTATTCTTCTTCCTCGGTGTTCTGGACTCTGCCATTTTAACCCTTAATCTTCCTTTCAACTCCATTCTCTGTTCTCATTACACATATGTGAGCAACTTAGAGTTTTCATCATGGGCTCTTTCCCCTCACTGCCCACAAAGAGTGAGCACTGTATCACTGGACCTACCTTTTGAGAGCTCCCTAAGAATCTTAGCCTGTTTATTTCCGACTTGCCTTCAGTGGGACTGAAATTTCACTGGGTGAGGGGATCTAGGTTTTAAGAGTGAGAAATCCCTTGGCTCTGGATTTGGTGAATAAATGTGTGGGAGAAGTAACTGAGATGTGCAGGATCAGAAGGTAAGGTGTAGCAGGCCCAGAAGAAGCCAGATAGCAGCCACCTGAAACATATTATGTTTAATTTACTCTTCCAGTTTTGCTTACTATTAAACCCGCAAACATTGGGCACTTACTGTATATCCTCACTGCTCAAGCACTGTACATACAGGATCCCAATTAGCTGTGCAGCATCCTCACCCCAGTAGAGGCCTACCATGAGGAAATTGAGGCTCCAGTGACATTATCCGGCACTCAAGGTCTGAAGGCCGGTGAGGACCTGAGCTGGGATGTGAGGACCTGAGCTGGGATTAGCATTTGGTTCTCCGGCTCAGCAACGCGGCTCAGCAATGCTTTCGTGACCCCTGCTGTTTCTGGTATGTTTGTCGAAAACAAAAGAATACAAGCCAACTATAGCCATAGTTACAGCTGCCCCCAAATTCCTGCCTCCAGAATCTTTGTAGGCTGAGAACTAAGAGATTCCAGAACTGAGGAAGTGATTCCAGAACAAGAAAAGTAACTGTATTCCTATTCCTCTCCTTGAAAGCAGCCACATATGATTTCGGTTCCTTGTCATGTTTCTCAAGCTGACATTTGAGAGCAGCTTTCAGAGGCTGTTGGCTGGCTTCAGAGAACCTTAGCACCCTTGAGCCCTCAGAAATCATCTGTTCTAGTTACCTCCGTGTCACTCTTCAGGGAATTTCTGAATGAGCTCAGGCAGCCCCTCCAAACAATGGAGTTGTTACTGGAAAGGGCTAACTTGTAGGAAGTTCTGCATTTCTGGAATGTTCTCTCTTGCTTCTTCATCATCATGTATCTTCTCTGAGCCTGGTGAAATTTGGTGATGCTTGGGAGCTGACCCAGTCCCATAACACAAACTGTTCTATAATTTCCACCCACCCACCTAGAAGTCACAAACTTGCTGAATGCACACTCAGATTAAATCAGCATGCTGCAACAGCCACTTCCAAATATCCCAACAACAGATCTGGTCATCAAGGATTCAGTCAGGCTTGTGCTAGGTTGCAGGAATACTTAGAAGTCCAAGATGCCACACTCACACACTGAGTCATCTAGTTTACCATTAACTAAAACATCGAGGTATCTGTAGGTGTTTTCTGCAGACCCTGCCCTGAGGGTAGGTTACCAAGCCCTGAAAACCTTTGGTGAAATGTGTGTGTCCTAGAAGCAAGTGTGGGGAAGGCCCGCTAAGGCCCAGGGCCAGTTCTGGAAGGCAGCAGGTAACTGGACCGTGGAGATGGGGGTCACTCTTCCTGGACTGCAAGGCTTTTGCCAGCAGGATGCTGGGAAGTGGGGTCCACATGCCCATCTCTGGCAGGCTTGCCCTTTGCTCTGCCTCCAGCCCTGTGGCAGCCCTGGCCTTTCCCTGACCTGACCTTTGGGGAAACCTTTACTTATGCCTTAATCACTTCCTGTCTAGACCATATTCTCAGCTCTAGGAACCAGGCTGGCGTGGGGGTGCAGGGCTATTCTCACCTTGCTGTGGCTCCTCCCACCAGCCTTCCATCCAGCCCTGAGCCCTGAGAACTTTCCAGGCTTCTCACCGACTGCCTCTTCCAACCCTTCCCCTACCAGCTTCCTTTGGGTCTGGAGGACACAACCAGATCTCCCTTGATTTGAGGACATGTTTTTTTGGGAACATGAGGTTTTGCCTAGTGTTTCTGGCTAGCGTAGCATCTCTGTTTCTTTGCTTCTCCTCCTCAGACAATTTGTTCCTGTAATCCCTCTGAACTCTCCATCACTTTCCTTCCCACACCTACTTACTTGTTTTGTTTATTATTTATTTTCTCCTCTGCTTTTCTTTTTTGGTCCCTGTTTGTGTTCTTTTACGTACACTAGCAGATGTAGGCGTTGTGCTAGGATCCCTAGCTGTGTGGCCATGTGGAAGTCGCTTAACATCTCTGAGCTGTAAAGGGCAATGATATTATTTAAATGAGGATTTAACAGGGAAGAAAATAACTGCTCAGTAACCAGAGGTTTCTGTTGAGCAGCATTGAGACAGGACTGTGCTGGGAAGGGATCACTATTAAGATCCCTTCCAGCCCAGAATTCTAGAGCCTTTGTGTTTGGGCCTATTGGACGGAGCCAGAACCCTGTCACAGCCTGCTCAAAGATATCCTGCGTTGTTGCTGTGTTCCCAATTCCTTCCAACTTCTGTGTTTGTGTGACACTCAAGATGGCAAGTGGGCCTTTGAATATATCTTACGTATGT